CATCACATAAAACCTGCTCCTAATGTTCCCAACCGATCAAAAAATGACACCATATATTGCCGATTGACTTTAATTTCAACCCGCTTTTTGAGCCTCATGAGTTGGTTGGGATGGAAATGGGGCTTAGTAGTTAGCCCAAGCTTCTCCACCATGGCTGTTGCAACCAGGTTCTCACAACTTACGTCGTCGATGATAAGGTTACAAATTTTGTCCCGAACTGTGTACCATTTTAAAGATGTTATGTCGTCACCAATTTTTATTGGAAGATTGTTCGAACCATAGGATACGTCCTATCACAAGTAATTCCCCTTCATGTGCATGTAGGGTTTGGTTCCTTGTTGGATTATTATCTTTTTCTTCTACCACATTATTTTACATCTAGATCAATCTCTTCCACCAATGAAATAATGCGCCGGTTAGGACAATTCGAGGCCATGTGGCCAAACTCATGACATTTGAAGCTTCACATATCGGTTGTAGTTGCTAATCTCATTGTGGTAGCAGTCCCTTATAGCTAGAAAATATTTTTATTGTTGCTTCTATTTTCAACTTTTCGACCACCGGCTTGTGCCTGGAAGTGGGCTGATTTGTTGGACCCGTCCAAATTACTTGAGTATTCCTACCCAATTTATGCTGCTTTTCAATCTTCACCACCAAGTTAATTACCTCTTGTAATCTCCACAACAGTTGGAGTTGAACCACATGAGCGATAGATAGTAGAAGACCGCCAAAAAATTGTGCAATAGTATGCTCCTCGGTTTCGGAACTATCGTACTACAACCCCAACTGTTTGAATTCAACAATATATTCCTCCACGGATAACTCTTGTTGATAAAGGTTTTGAAACTGGATGAAGACTTCTTGTCGGTAATGATTAGTTAAGAATCTCTGTTGAATTTCTATCTTCATTTTGGTCAATGACATGATCTTGGATCTTCCTTTCTTTGCAGAATCCTCTTCAAATTTTCCATGCGTTCTTGTTTATTTTGATTCCCACTAGTTTGACGATATGTTCTTGTAACACCATCTTAAGTTCTAGAATTTGTTCAACTGTATGTAGCCCATTGACGAATTAATCGTGATCCAATCTTCCCTTTAATTCTGGGAGGTAGATTTTGATTCCAAAATCTGGAGGTTTCCGTCGATTTTCATGCCTCAAGGTACGTAGACGTTGCTCATCACTGCTAGATGTCTCTTGTTGGAATGAATTTTCTTCTTCCTCGTCGTCATATCTTTCCATATTCATTTTGAAGTTCTTCCAGTTCTCGTTGTTCCAGAAGCACTAGTCTTGTTTGTTGACGACAAATTTCTTTTTGCAATTCTTCCACAATCAACTCTTGGGTTGGATGGACATTATTCCTTGGAGGCATGATTGAGAGCAAAATAAACCACAAACAAATCCAGTGACAACAAATTGTTCTAAATTTTTGGGCAATAATTGGAATCAAAACCAAAGTTGGAGGATTATCAACCTCCACAGTTGGACAGAAGAACCCCACGGCTGGACGACAAAGAAAATGCGGTCACAGTAGGGAAAATTGGACAGAAATTAGCAAATCTGGATTACAAAGAAAACCAGGAAATTTCGACAGAATCCAGAGTTTCTGTCCTCAAATTCTAAACAAGTTTTGTTCGCAAATTCTGGTTCAAAATTGAAAGGAGAAATTCAAAAAAATCAAAACAAAAGAAGACTGAAATGTGCAAGAACTCGAAAACGAAGAGAAAATATGTGTAAGATCCGTGCTCTCATATCAAGATGATACCAATAACAAGGTAAAAATAGAAGTATGTAGTTTATAAATTCAGTAAAGAAAGAAACCTAAACCAAGAATCCCAAAGAAGGGAAATAAAATGAATAAACTGAACTAAAGATGGATGATTACCATTTGGGCGCCACCCCAAGGTACTGAATTCACTTCTTAACCCAGAAGGATACAAAAAAAGGCTCTTACAACCAATCAAAATACTCTTCCTCTTTTTTCTAACATGCAGGACAACCTTATATAGGCAAGCCCACAACAAAAACATAAAGCTAAACAAAATTAATTACAAGTACGTAATTACAAGCACGACACCCTGCTAAATACATAAAATTTCTGCTCCCGCATCACCAACTTTCTGATCTTTGATCTCTCTTGTATGATTTTTGATTATTGATGTGGTCATGCCTTTGAACGCTTGATGATATTATTTTTCGATCTTAAAAATGTGACATGAATCATCACTTTAGCCAATTTTCTTGGAGAATTTAAAATTTTAAACTTATAAAGAACATAATTGTGTGGTCTTCACAAGATTTGATTTTACAAATTCCTAGTCATATCTAAGGATATATTATTTGATTTGATTTTATTGTAATGTCTTCGCTTTTGAGCTTGTACACTCCAATCTGTGGAGATATCGATTTATTTTTATTTTTTTCTGCTTGATTTGTTAAGAGTACGGCTCTTCAAGCTTTTTTGATAAAGAAGGTTTCTTCACTTGTGATAGCTCTTTCTTTATATAGTAGAAGGTTCACATTGTGTAATCAGTCATAATTTTGATCACCTCTTGATTGCTTTCATTTTGGTGGATCAATCTTGACGACTGAGTTTTGGTAAACATCTGCAAATTTGAGAGCAATGTGTTGGAAATGGTTTGCATGCTTTCTCCTTAGTTTGCTTTTGCATTTGCATGTCACTTGCTTTGCTTAAGGTAGAGAAAGCATGACTTCTTCAACTGTGTTGATCATCACTAGGAATATTTGGCTTGCCTTGATAAATCTACTTATTTGCTCTACTGTTACTACATATGTCATCAACATGCCATAGTACTTTTTAGCAAAAAGGTCTTGTTTTGTTAATATTGATAAGGTCATCAGTACAGTATCATATTTAAATTGAAGTTATGAATTGACAAAAAGACTTTAGTAGAGTTAAGTGGAACGATGTCACGTACCGTGCCTTTTATGTAGTACTTTATGATTGCAAACTTCAAGCGACACTTATGATAAATCATCTTCTATGGCTTATTTTAAATTCAATCCAAAATGTAAGGATTGAGATGATAAGGTATGATATCTAACTCTAATTGGCAGAAATGAGGTTCTTTTGGTTATTGGCATCAATGATGGTGTTGATATTTGAATTTGTACAATTATAGGTAGGCCCCAATGTGGTTTTGAGAAAAAAATGTGAAGTCGTTTGCCTCATCTTGGCCAGATGAGGCATATGCCTTAATGGGCCTCCGCGGGCCTCCGCGAAATTTTGAAGAGGTACAAGCTTAATAAATTAGTGTTTCAATAATTTAAAGATTTCAGATCATTACTTATTTCTTGTCATTTGTATAATTTTCAAAATACTTCTTATATGTATGAAAATATTCACAAAATGTAGCACTTATTTTGACCTTATCAGTACTACTAATGCAAATAGAAAACTTCCTTAATTAAAATATGATGATAAAATGATGACATCTTTGAATCTTAAGAGGCTTCCTAAGAGGGCCTTCAAGAAATTAATTGCAAGCTAGATGAGGCCATATGAAAAGGGCACATATTGAGATAACTATCATGATTTGGAAATTCAGGGAAGTTATGGTAACTTTAATTTATTTCATGAATCTACTGCCAGTTTCATGGACTCTTATCTCCTTAAAATCTCTCCATTTGAACTAACATCTAACACCTTACTAGATGGATCTACTTGTTCTATACGCTAAAAGCCAAGTTAAATGGAGGGTTGGTATCCACTATAGATTGTGAATATCATAGATTTTTTTTTTTACTATGGCATGACAAACCTACTTGCTTAACTCATTGATTACTCAGGAAATACAATAATTATGCTAGACTTGACGAATATCAAATGCTTGATTTGTTTTAAGCTGAATTTTTTCAAGATGGGCAAATTTGAAAATATAAGATGGTCTAATGCACATAAACTGATGAGCATTATGAGTATCATATTTTATTTGCGTATAGTTTATTTTGCGATGGTGATATAGATGGGGATGTTATTAGTAGAATTCAAGTTGGTTGGTTGAAGTGGAGGAATGCTTCGGGCCTATTGTGTGATAGAAAGTGCCGCTTATACTGAAAGGAAAATTTTATAAGATGGTGGTGAGACCTGCAATGCTATATGACGTTGAATGTTGGCCTTTAAAAGAGAAGCATTAAACTAAGTTCAGTGTTGTCGAGATGAGAATGATTAGGTGGATGAGTGGCTTTACACTTAAAGACAAAAATGCGAAAAGAATATATCCGTGATAGGGTTGTAGCTTCAGTGACGGATAAAATTAGAGAGAGCCGTCTTAGATGGATTGGTCACATTAAACATCAACCATCTGATGATCCGATTAGAAGAGTAGATGTTTTAGATTCGACTTATGTTAAGAAAGGCGGAGGTAGAGCTTGGATGACTTGGACATATTGTATAAAAAAATGATCTTAATTTATTAGAATTAAATGAAATATGACACTAAATAGGACGCAATGGAGAAAAAGGATTCATGTAGCCGACCTCATCTAGCGGGATAAAGGTTTTGTTGTTGTTGTTGAATCTATGTAGAAGAATAGGGATATAAATGTTATATAATTTCTGAAATTATGGATGGTTAAAGTGGGGAAATGCCTCAAGTGTATTATGTAACAAGACAATATCATGGATTATTGGAGGAAAAATTTATAAAACTGCAATTAAGCCGTGCATGTCTTGTGAATTTGAGTGTTGGACAATTAAGAAATCATCAATAATGAAGTTTAGCATTTGTATAGTTTTGAATGTTAGGGAAGATGTATGAAAATTTTTTGGAAGATAAATGAAAGAATGTGTATCATATTAGAGGAAAGGCTGTATTGCTATCTATTGAAAGGTAATATAATTGAAAATAAATTAGATTGCTTGGACATGTATAATGAAAGGTAAAAAATGCACCAATTCAACTTGTAGATTTTGGTAATATTTGATGACTGAAAGATAAACTTGAGAAATCATAAGCTAACCCTGACTTGCTTTTTGCAGAATGAAGCTGTCTTGAGGGCATGTGCTGAAGAGCAAGATCCGAATGCTTCATCTGCTACTTCCAGTTTGAAGAACAATGGACATTAACTATTTACAAATGTGTCATCATGAAATTAATGGGTCCTCAAAAAGTTTTTTTTTCCCCCAAATGTTTTGTTCTGTAATACATAACATTTTACTGATTATAACCGGTGCCTTCTTTTTTTTTTTTCCGAAGATTTTAGTATATGATGGCTTCTTTCTGTAACTCTTTATTTATGTAATATAAGCCTCAATTTTTGATAACTTGACCTGCATTTTTACTCTTAAAATATGATTTAGGATAAGTTTGGAGCACCTTTTAATAGTTTGAGACTAAATTGAAGTATTTTAAAACTCTGGAATTAAATTGGACATTTCTTTGTAGTCGGAGGACTATTTTAAGCTTTTAATCTTTTCTTTGAAGGTTTTATTTTTGCGAATGTTTGGTCCTCTTTTAAAAGTTTGTTGGATTTGTTCGTTAAGCGCTGACTTACATGATCATATATTTTAAGATATTTTATTTATTATTTATTATTAATTTTTTTAAAATTTTTTTAAAGGAATGGACATAGGCTATTATACGAGCCTCTAGCCACCCATAATGTGCCTAATAATTTGAAACCACCTTCTTAAGACCAACTGTGCCAGAGTGGATTCGAACCTCCGACCTGAGGGACTGTGGATGCCAACTTTAATTTTGTTTGATTCAAATTCTAACTTGTTAACAAGAGCATATTGCTCATAAATAATTTCAAGTATTAAAAGAGCCCTTAAGAGCGTTAAGTAGCCCAAAACTTAAATACTGTTTTTCGGCCTTACACATAACCTATGTGAGACTATTTGTCTGTGACATTCTTCTTCACCCAATCACGTGACGCCCTCGTCACACATCAGCTCCACCGAGGGTGTCACTTGACCATGGAGAGTCTACATACCTGGTAGACAGTAATCTGCTCTGATAGCACTTGTCACATCCCAAAAGAGTTCTTAGGGGTGGTGGGCAGCCCAAGATTTAAATACTGCCGATGTGGGACTATTTGTCCGTGACATTAAGCTAATTTCCATCGGTAATTATGTATATCAGAGATGACATATTTAGTTGAGTTAATAGAATTATGACTAGTTGGTTTAAAAATAGAGATTTCTTGTGAGTGCTAATGGAGAATATCATAAAACTTTAAAAATAGAATTTATAAAATTATAATTATGCTAATTATATTGTAGCAAATTGATTATTTGGCCATAAAAAGTGCCATTAATGGACACTTTGAGTGTCGAAAACAAACATGTTGAAGGAGATGTTTGCCAAATTTTAGCATGGATGGTGTGCAAATAATTTCATCAGAGGGATTTTTGACGGCAGGATTTATTGAAGTGCAAAAATATATTAATTGATTCAAGAATACTATTAATTATTAAATTTAAATATAAATATAACTTATATAATATAAAATTTTTCTCCAATTCAATATGCACTATTCTAATTGATTTAAGTAGGCATCATATTTTAGTTATTTTCTTAATTTTTGATTAAAGTCATCTAACTAAAATTAAAAAGACAAAAACTGGCAATATTAGAATGTAGCCTTGCATCAAAAATCAAACTAGTTCCTTGTTCACCAATTGAATTATTGATTTTGAAGGAAAGCATTTTCAGGACGTGTTTGGTAGCATACTATTAATAAGATTTAGCTATAGATTTAACTTAAATCCAACCAAACATTAAAAAAATTAGAAAATTAAATCCAAAGCTCTGTTAAATCAAATTTTCTCGCTTTATGTTTCTTTTTCTAACGTTCCGTCCATTTCACGGCATAAATCTGATTTACTAAATCCAATTAGGAGACAGATTTGTTCCTTTATCGCTTGTGAGCTCCTCCATCTTCAACTGAATTTGATAAATTCATAAATCTGAATTTACGGAATCATATTTAACAAATACATCTTTTAGACTTGGGATGAACTTGGTGAAGAATTTAGCAGTTCATACGAAACAAACAACAAATAAAGAGCACAGAATGAACTTATTGGAACAAACTTGGCTCCATTCCCATATCCATCACCCATACCAAATCCAACAATAATTCCAACTCAATTCTCTTTACAGCCCCACAAACATTTGCATGACAGAGATCTTCAATGCGCAAACTTCCAAGAACTACGTTGTCCAACCTGAGTCATAAAGTTTGAATTCTGGCACCATTAATCCTCTCACAAACCCTTGATAATCAGATAAATATAACCATCAAGGATTAGCAAGAAGAAGTAGGGCTTGCAGAAAGAACTCCAGCAAGAGGACAAAAAACAGAACAGGAGGGGAGACTTGCGGTAACAATCATTTCTAGAAGGGGGAGGAAAGATGGGGTTTTGTGAGTGTCGTGAAGGAGCTTCCCAATGGCTTTTATTTATTTTAATTTTGTTTTGGACTGATTCCAAACCCACACTTACAAGAAACTCTGGTCGGCTGGTCTTTTGAATGGCAAAAAGGTTATGGCTGGCACGTAAGTTCCAATTTATTCCCCTCCCCTTTGTCGTCTTTGCTTTATTCATTTTGATTCTATTCACCTGCTTTGCACAACTTTTTGTGTCGCTACTGTGCGCTTCCTTTTTGATGGCTTGGGCTGATTGATTTATTAGCTCGGTTTTATAACTCGGTTGTTTTGAGTCAGTTTGACTCGCTGAGCCTGCGAGTTTGCCGAAGTTCTCGATCTGCTTGTGGGTGTGTTAATGATCTGATTCTGAGTTGAGTTGGGGGTGACTCAAAACTGGCTCGAAAAAAAATTGATCCAAAATCTTTATTCGTAACCAGTCAAAGAACAGATCTAATTTAGCTCTTTCGTTCCTATTCTAACTAGTTCTTTTGGTTTTTGACTGGCTGTTTCAACTAGAAACCCAGATCTCTTTATTGGTTGAAACAAGATGCGACTTCTTTGAAATGAATGAAATTCAAGAAACAATTGACAAAAATCAAAATCGAAGTCTTTTAGAATCTTTCATTTCAGGTATTCTATGGTTCCTTCCCACGTCAATTACCAATTTTTGGCCATTGAGATTCACGGTCATTTATATCGATTTGATCTGGATCCAAGCATAAATTCCAATCAATTTTGGAGCAATTAACAATCTTTGAGCTAAATTCGTTAAATTCATATTCCTAATATCACTAGGGCGGCTAACTATCCAATTTCGAGCCGAGTTGGGGTCGGCTGAAATCGGTTCGAAAAAAATTCGATTCAAAATTTTAGCTCATAGCTCGGTTCGTTCTTGATCCGAGCCAAAATTTGAATGAATTTTCAATTGAATAATGATTTTCGAGCTAAATTCACAATCGCAGCCCTTTGTTCTCCTACATACACACATATATTGAGCAGAATGAGCACTAGAACTTGGCATCATGATATTCTTCACTTTGTTTCGAATTAATGTGCTATGTATTTGAACACGACTCGCTCAAGATATTTAACTTGTGTGAGACATTTCAGAACTCACTTCTTCTACTTGTTCGTTGAATCGAGAATCTTGTTAGATTCTTTTGTATTTTTCTTATTGCTCTCTAAAACTCGAACTTTGTCATTGATTTTATAAATAGGGGGTCACAAATTTAGCACGTGCACGATATACTCGTGTTATCTCATTATATAGTTTCTAGTCAAATACACCTTTTTTTTAAATAAAAAATTCTCTTTAGAATCTTAAAACCTAATTTAACACACTTTGTTATAATTATTAACAATATAGTAAGAGGATGTTTGGATCCATAATCTTTCTCTATTGTCAACCGAATCAGCCCTAACTTTACGGGTAATATTGCAATAATTAATTTTTGTTTTTTGCAAAGCATCTATCTTTATTCAGAAGTAGAAAATTAGAGAATTGTTAGATAATTTAATAAGGAAAAAAAGAAAGCAAGGTTCTTCGTCTTGTTAGTTAAATTTGACATCGAAGGCAGTTATAGGAGTGCGAAATCAGATACCACATGCATCTCTGTATGCTGTGGGAAATATTTTCTAAAAAGCACTCTATTTTCTAAAAATTATTTTTTTAATCGTTGAAGGATATGTGGTGTAAATTTCAAAAAAATTTGCCGCAGAGCTGCAAACCGTATCCGCACAATCGTTTTTTTTGCAATTTGCAGATCTAGTACTGACCGTACGATGCAAATTTTCAGAACAAATTTTTTTTTTTACAGAAATGGTAAATTATGGTAAAATATTTTCTTAAGAATTCCTTCTTTCTTTAATAAGAAAATATATATTTGTCGTTGTTAATTTAAATTAAAAGAGCAATTATAGTGGGTGTTTTGGGTCCCATAATTAGTGGAAAAAATTTACATTTGGAGTCCGAATGCAGCTGTACATCTGGACTTCTAATAATATGCCGCCACGTGGAGGTTATTATGGAGTTTTTGAAGTGGAACCGCGAAAGTTATTTCGTGGGTTAATGCAGGGATTATTGAAGTGGAACCACATAAATTATTGAAGGTTATTGATGTGGAACTGCTGAGGTTATTGAGGGGTTATTGTGTAGGTAATTGCAAGGGCTTATTGGAGTGCAACCCGCAAATGTTATTCCGGGGTCATTGTGAGGTTATTGCGGCGTTATTGGAGTTAATGCCCCAATAACCCCCCAATAGCCCTCACAAAAACCTTCTCAGTTCCACTACAATAACCTCCGTCATTCCACTTTAATATTTGTTTAGGTGAAACTGATATAACATACATGATGACATATTACTGGAATCCACACGCAGAGTTGCGTCGGGACTCCAGATATAAAATTTTCTCCATAATCATATCTCACGGACGCCAAGGAAAAAAGAAAAAAAAATGGCTAGTCTATGTGACATAACATTATTACTTATTTTGCATAAATTGGGTTTAATAACTTAGGGTTTCTTCCACTAGGGGGCTACGAAAAGACTCCAAAATCAAATATTAGTAGGACATTACGTAGACAATGGGGGTGTTTCAGTTGGAGCTGCAAAAACAAAATTGACTTCATATGGTCAAAAGATTAGATTCTCTGGGCCGCCTGCTAAATTGCATCCCAATCAAATCTTTTTTATTGACTTAAGGGGGTTAATTTTATAATATTTAATTTTAGGAGATTTATGTGCACACCACATAATTTTTTATATATTTATATGTTTATATATTTAATACTTATTAAATATGCATATTGGATGTAAT